TCCTGAGTGAGGGTACCCCACTTCCACATGCTTTACTTTTCTTCACTACACTCATCCTAAATTTTAAAATTAGTGATACATGGGGCTGGAGAGAGTGGCTCAGCGGTTAAGAACACTGACTGTTCTTGCAGAAGACCGGGGGTCGAATCCCAGCATCCACATAGCAGCTAACAACTGTCTGTAACTCCAGTTCCATGGGATCCAACAGCCTCTTCTGTCCTCCACGGGCATTGCACGACATGGGTGCACTTATATGCAGGCCTTACGTGCATACTCATAAAATAAAAATAATGTTTTAAAATTAGTGATACAGAAAATATGATATCCACATTATGACTCTGGCCAAAGCATCATCATATCCACCAAGCCCTTGGTGCTGCCGCCTCAGCAGGGAACAGGAGTTGCTAAGGCTAATCCGCCAGACCCCTTCCCTGTTATTCTCATTTCACACAAAAAGTCCCTTGTGCCTACCCAGCATGTGGAGGCCCTAGGTTCAATCCTCAGCACCATGGGTAGTGGGGAGTTGGGGGAGGGAGAAAGGGAGATGGCTCAGTAAGGTGCTTGCCACCACGTAAGCACGAGGACCTGAGCTCTAACACCCAACACCGCTGAAAAAAGCCAGGTGTGTACCTGTGATCCTAATGCCGGGAAGCAGAGATGGGAAGACCTGGGACTCACTGGCCAGCCAGCCTAGCTAAACTAATGTGCTCCAGATTCAGTGAGAGACCCTGTTTCAAAAAATAATGGTGGATAATGATCCACCTGGAGGCTGCCACCTAAAGAGATTGTCCCACATCCCCAATTGGACTCCAACCCAGACATCTAGGCCAGAACCCCTGCCATCCCCACCTCTCTATTGCAAGCTGGAGGCTAGTGGCAGAGGGGACAATGATTATAGTCCTTTACACTGCCTGACGTCATAAGCACACACAGTATTTTCTCTCTCTGTCTTCTGCATACAGCTTTATACACATTTCCACTTTCCTCCTCTGCCTGATCTTTATATGCTAGAACAAGCTAAAATTATAACACAAAACATATAAAAATAATGCTATTTGCAGGCTTCTCTACTCTGGCAGAGACACTTCCCTATTAGGACAAACTGAAGGATGTGCAGTTTCAGCCACTAGTAAATGATTCTAGCTATCAAAGGACAGAAAAGACAACAGAAAATGAGCAGTTATGGCTGCTGGGTAAGAGAGCCACAAATTAATGCCGCTAGCAGGCTGTGGGGGAGTATGAGGAAGGACAGAGAGGAGGAAGACAAGGTTGGAGAGGTCACAAGGACACTGGGAAGCAGATGGGACCAGCCTAAGCCTGGGATCCCCCACCCTCCCTGGAAAACACAGGGTAGGGCAGGACATGACACACAGGGCCCGTGTGGCCCAGGGCTTTCACATCCACAGAGACTCTGAACCAAATTGTTCCTTATGTGAGTGGTTCGACATTTAAATCTGCCATGATCGCTGGTCTAACATTGTCAGATAACTGGAGATTTAAGCCAGTTCAACTAACACATCTCATCAGAGTGCCACTGGCAAAACTCAAAGTGTTCATCAGAAAATGTTTAAAAATTCATTGTTGTTCTGGTTTTACAGTTTTCTTCTGTCTTTCTCCTTTTTTCTCCTCCTCCCTTCTACCCCCTTTCACCCTCTTCCTTCTTCCCCTTCATCTTCCTCCCCTTCTCTTCCCTCCTCCTCCTTTTAAACTAGTTGTATATGGTTGGAATGTGTCCACTGAGTTCATATGTTGATTGTCTGGTTGTCAGTGTGACGATGCTAGGTCTTTAAAAGGTAGGCCTTTGTGCCACGTAATTATGTCACATCGTTACATAATTATGTAATTATGGAGATGTTCCCATGGGGCCTCCTGAGAGCAGGTTGTTATAAAAGAGCAAGTCCAACCCCAGTCTTGCTGGCTTCCTGTCTCACCATGTGATCTCTCCTGCTCACACATGCTCCAGCCATGATCCCATCCTCCATGCTGTGACACAGCCAAGGGGACCCTCACCAGAGCTGCTGCTGTGCTCTGCAGTCTCTAAAACACCTTTATACACTACCCAGCCTCATGTATTTTGAAACAGCAATGGAAAACAGAGTCTAGAGCTTTCCATCTCATTTATTTCTTAGAAGCGTAGCAGATAGATGGTCCTGTGAGCATGAACGTGCACATGTATAATGTGAAAGGATAAACAAGGTACAAGCCTTCCTCATGCCTGCAGTGACACACCCAATAAGACAATAGATTTCTCTTGCCAGGAGAGACTGAAGAAGCTCTCGTCTTTGTTAAAGGCACCAGCTCACAGCTCAGAGGCTGCTTCAAGGTCCTGTGGCCAGACCATGTCCTGCCCCAGGAAGAGAGAAAAGGGACGAGCCTGGTAAACTGGCCATAGTGACTACTTGGGTCCCAGAACTTGGGTTCAACATGGTACATGGCCTTTGCTGGGATTTTTCAGTATTGAAACTCTTGCTATTCAAAATTGCTGAGGTTGGAGTAGCATTTGGGCCCCGACTGCCTACCTGAACTCAGAGGTTCAAAGGGAAAGACAAGAGTGGGGCAGAAGTCAGAGTGTGTATCATAAGGACCAGCACAGAGCAGCTAGATCCCGGGGCTCTGCTGCTCATTGGCTGCATGGGCCTCGGTGGTCTCCCAATCAAAGCCTCATGTTTTCCTTATATGAGGGGGCTGCTGCAGGTCCTATCTCATGGTGGTATCATTTAGTTTAAAGGAGACAATGGGAAGTGCCAGTCTCAGACTCCTACTGTAGCATAGCAATATGCTTGCTGATTGGTGGCTATGAAGTGGCTTTCTTTGTAAAATGATGTGTGTGTGTGCATGTGTGCATGCGTGTGTGTGTGTGTGTGTGTGTGCGTGTGTGTGTGGTGTAGGAGGCTACACACTTCATGTGTTATCCTCGGAACAGCAGTCACCTCCTTTGAGACAAAGTCTGTCATTGGCCTGGAGCACACTGATGAGGCTTGGCTGGCTGGCCGTCAAGCCCCAGGGGTCAACCTGTCTCTGTCCAGCACTGGAATTCTGACCATGAGCCACCATACCTGGATTTTTCTAAGGGTTCTGGGAATTGAACTCGACCTCATGCTTCTAAGGCAAGTACTTTATGTACTGAGCCGTCTCTCTAGCCTGGTCTACTTTCTGTAGCGATCCAAGTTTAGGTGCTGTCAGAACAGCAGGGGCTCTGCCAACCACCAGTACTCAGTCATTCCCAGCCCAGGACACAGGTCCCTTCATGCTGAAGGAACACACCCTCAGCTGCTATGCCCAGGCCACAAAGAGGTGACTCTAGTCCTAGACCAGGCAGGCCCTCTTTTCTTTGACACCTTGATTTAAAACAATGAAAAGGGCAAACTTTCAGGCTCTCTGCCAGCAGGCGAGGCCGACTGCTTTCCTGCAGGGCCCCCAATTCCCATGGTAGAACTTAGAACCTAGGGAAAAATGCAAAACAATACGCCATCTGCTTGGCTTCCGGACAGTGCAATTAGGCAGGAAGTGCTTTTACATCTTCGTAGGACTCTGCATTAAGCCAGGATTAATTAATTGCCACATTAAAGGAAAGCACCTTTAGCATTTCAATGACATAATCACATGCAATTATGATCATGGAAGGGAACATTTTATAATTAATGATGTCTTCACTTCCTGAAATGTGTAATCCTTATGTCTTCAATTCCAAAGAGGTTGGCAGACAGAAAGCACTAAATATAGATCAGGAACTAATATTTAAATCAGTTTTTAATTCACCTTTCTATGTGAACAGCGAAACCAGAACAAAAGCTCACAATGGTTACTGTAAGGAATCTAAGCTTTTATGTCCGTGAGGCTAAATATTTAGAAACCACAGATTCAAACAGAAATGGCCAATGATTATTGTCTGATAGGGTTATCCTAAATGGAAGGAAGTCTGCCCTAGTGGGCACGTTAACTGCTTTTCCAGAATTACATCAAAACTCACGCCGAGAGTCCTGGCTTTGGCAACTCTACTGTGCTTTCACTTAACAATGCACCGTGTCTCTAATCCCAGTGACTTAGAAATGAAATGGTTTTGCTTTTCACTAGGGGAGTTTCTCACCAAGTCACAAATGCCATGTCCCAAGCAAGCACAGTTCTAAATACTTAACACACAATGGCTCTGTTAATTTTCACAATGACATTGAGATTGGAACTACTATGATTTATAAACAGGGACACTGAGATGCTGGATCTTTAATAACCATGTGTCCAGGGCTAGGGGTAGCAGTGTAGCTCAGTGGTAAAGTAACTGCCTAGTATGTGCAAGGCTCTGGGTTTGATCCTCAGCACAGAGGGAAAATACTACATGTCCAAGCTAGCATTCTTCAAGAAAGGCTCTTTTGATTGAACTACTGACCAGACATAATAAACAGATTTCCCAGGCTTTAATTCTCATTCTTCCCCGGAACAGTATCTGGAAAGCCCCAGAACCTCATTGTCAGCAACCCTCCTCAACAGAATACAGATGGAAAGGCAGAGAAAGATCCAACTTGCAGTAACATCCAGGAAGCTCCCACAGGAGGAGAATGCCCCACAGCAGTTTTCTCAAAAGTAAAGAAACATAAATTGTATCTAATTTCTTGTCAAGTATTTGTGTGTGCACATGCATGTGGAGGCCAGAGATCAACTGGCAGTGTCTTTCCTCAGGGTCCATGCATCACTTTTTTGAGTAGAGAAAAGGACTCTAAATGGCCTGGAATTCACTAATTAGGTGAGGCTGGCAGGCCAGTGGGCCCCAAGGATCCTCCTGTCTCTGCCTCTCCAACTCTGGAATTATAAACATATGCTACTACATCTGGCTTGTTTATGTGGGTTCAAAAGACTGAACTCAGGTCCTTGCATTTGCAAGGCAAGTGCTTTTATTGACTGAGCTGTCTTCCAGCCCACTGCCTCTGTCTTCTGATTTGATTGTCATCAATGAACTAGGAAGGGGTGTGCCTGCTCTGTCTCACATGAGGCCAAGGCTACTTTACCTTGTCATAATAGTATCGCAGGGCTCTGCTCAGCTTATCATAGTTCATGTTTGTCTTGTTCTTGCGGAGGCCCCACAGCTTGGCCACTTCTTCCGCCTTAAGGAGCTTGAATTCACCATCATTGGATGTCCAGCAGATCAGGTGCTCATGTTTCTGGTCCAGCAGCAACTGCAACAGGAACTGCCACAGTGTGATTGCACTCTCCATACCTGGGGGGACAGGAAGCAAGTCAGAGACTGGGCCTGCAAGACAGAGGCTGCACATGGCACTTGATGGCAACCCTGCTCCACAGATCTAAAAGAATAGTTGCTACCTCATCCCAACAGGCCATATGACTAGGGGCTTCATGATTGCACTTTTGCAAGCAGCTTTCAGCCAGAAATACAAGGGCATCCTATGATCCTAGAATTCACTATACACACCAGCAGAGGAACTAATGTGAAAATAACTGATGAAATGACCTCCTGTGGAAGTCTCCATTTAACCCTTCCTCCGTTAACTTCATCAATTTTCACCCATCATGGAAACTGTGTTTTTTGTCAGTCTCTAGCCATCGCTTGCTGAAATGTGGCATAAATGCATTTATGCAGGGGCCTGGGTAACAAAGCTATGGGATCCACTGGTCTGACTGTCCCTTCCCACTACACAGCAAGCTTTGCTTTGCAAGGAGAGGACTTGATTATTCTTTGCATTGCCAGCAATCTCATCACCTAGCACAATGCTTGCCTAGGGCCAGGTGGCCACTCAGTACATGCTGGTGAAACTGAAGAGTCAACCATTGCCAACTAAAGAGACCGCCACTGGCTCAGGCATTTGTCATCAGCAGCTCCAGTCCCACAGTCACAATTTCAGAGGTGGGAAAAGTGTTCTTCTAACCAGTAGAGGAAATTCCATAACAATGTTATCCTTTGCCTTTGCCTGTGGCCTGGACATTGCTGTTCCCTCTTGGTAGCATGCTGTTCCCTACCTTTGAAGCCTGGTGAGTTCCTACTCAACCACCTTGCCCCAGATTGAGTGGGACCTGCTTGTGGTTCTCAATTTTGGTCATTTGAGTATAATCAGAAGTAATTACCCACTTGTCTTATTATGCTCATTTATTTATTATGTGTATGTGTGTGTGCACATGCATGCCACAGTGCATGTGTAGAGGTCAGAGAGCAACTTGCAGGAGTTGGTTCTCTCCTTCCATTATGTGGGTCCCACAAATCAATTTCAGGTTGTCAGACTTGGCAGGGTCTGCCTTTACTCTCTAAGCCATGTCACCTGTCCTACCTGTCCGCTTTCTGTAAGTAGGAAAAGCAGGGGATTGACTGGCCTGGAAAGCTTCCCCACAGATCACCTGTATGAGGGAACACTTCATGCATCCTCAGTTTTGATCTGGAAGAATGGAGCCTCAGTTGAATTGCAATCTCAGTGCTAAATTGCAGAAGCTCAGGAAAGACCTGAAAATGGAAACAGGGTTCCTGTCTCGAGATGCATAGAGGCCAAGGTGTAAGGTGGAGACAAGCCCAACAGGATGAGGATGAACTTGTCCCACAGCAAGGAGACACTGAGGTCCTTTGGACAACCTAGAGTGACTGCCTGGAAGCCACAATGATGACCTTGAGGAGGACTATTGGAGACTTTCTCAGCAAAACGTCAGCTCTTTTCATCCACAGCTCTTCATAGAGCAGCTTTCAGGGGAGGGGTGCTGCTCAGTGGAAGAGTGCTTGCCCAACATGGCAGGGCCTTGGGTTCCATCCCCAGCACCCTAAGGAGCAACCTGGAGATTCTGACAGAAATCATTCCTCCCTTGCTGTCTTAGTTTGTTTCTTCATTGCTGTGACAAAATACTCTGACCAATACCAACTTGGGGAGAAAAGGGTTATTCAGCGTACATCTCCCAGGTCACAGTTCATCAGGGAGCCCAAGGTAGGAACTCAGGGCAGGACCCTGGAGGCAGGAGCTGGAGCACAGGCCATGGAGGAACGCTGTTTACTGGCTTGCTCCCCTGTCCCCTGCTCAGCCTGCTTTCTTATGCAACACAGGCCCACCTGCCCAGGGGTGGCACCACCCACAGTAGGCTGGTCCCTCCCACATCACTCAACAATCAAGAAGGTGCCCCATGGACATGGCCACAGGCCAGTCCAATGAAGGCAATTTCCCAACTGAGTCTCCCTCAACCCAAGTGTGTCAAGTTGACACTAAAGCTATCCAGCACACTTGCCATATACAGTGGATATGAAAACCCCAACCACCCAATAAGCATTTACTTCCTGTTTCCTCTCACAGGCCTAGCCAGAAGAAAGCACTGTATTATTTCTCTGAGCAACATGGGTGCCGCACAAGTGTTTTGGTTAAAGAAAACCAGATTAAGAATGTGATACAAACACACTGGGGCATTTTATTTATGGCTCCTTAAAGGGGATATTAGGACAGGGATCAGTCTGTACTCCACTACAGTGGTCACTGGGTTTGTAAGAGTCAACCCTGCCACTGATGGCTTCAAACCAGGCCAGCATCCTTGGAGCCTTTAAGAACCCCTGCTGGGATGTGCAGGCTCATGGCTCCAGCCCACCCTGAATATGCTCCTGGATGTGCCACACACATTTCAAATTCTTGGGTGTCTGGCCAAACATTCAGACAGTGAACTTTTAAATGTCTTTGAAACTTAGTGGCCACTCAGAAGAACTTTTCTGGAGAGGTAAAAAGATACTAGCCAGTTTGGAGGTCTTTGCAAATGGAGCTGCTGGGTCTGCCTCTCTCTGGCTCTCAGGACAGGTGGGGATGCCCAGCATCCTCATGCATCTTTAGCAGGCAGGAACCAGCATGTTTCAGGAGGGACAGGATGGCAACAGAGGCACCTGTGTAGTTTATACTATGGTTCCATCCAGGCCTCCTGGGAGTTTCTGTGTGTTTCCTGGAATCACTTTCCATGAGTTCCAAGCCTGTGCACAGAGCTGACCTGAACTTGATCAAAGCCTGGTGTGAACTCAGTTTGAAGGAACATGCTTGTTAGAAAAGTAAATACCATTGTGAACCAAGGATTCTTGAGGCGGTTTGTTATATAGCACCACTGAGCCAAAAGTTGGCTGCTACATTGCCAAACATGTATGTTCCTCCCTTCCCTAGGGTACTCTGTAGAGCTCGACATCACAATGCTGAGTGGTGAAGATACTGGAAAAGTGTGTGTGTGTGTGTGTGTGTGTGTGTGTGTGTGTGTGTGTGTGTAAGGAGGGGGAACTGGCTGAAACCATGTACATGGAGAGGCCACAAGTGGGCTGAGTGACACCCAGGACCTGAGACAAGGTGGAAGAAGGAAGATGGGGAAGGAAAAAGAGGCAAAAAGCAGAAATGTAGCAGGCAGGGGAGCAAAGTGTGGGGAGGGGGCACCAGCTTCAAGAGCCCCCAGGTTTCCAGAATAAAGGAAACAAGGGATGGACAGCAGAAATTTCAGTGTCCTGACAACTCTCAAGGCTCAGCCGAGTTTGGGCGGTGGCAAGGTGGAGTGCAGAAGGATTACTCAGAGCTGCTGTGAGCAACCATGCTGGAGGTTGACTAAGGAGCAGGCCTCAAGTGCGAAAAGCGACCCGCCCAGCTCCCATGCTCTCCTCTTCCTGAGCTCACTCCAGATGCTGTTTCGGGCAGCTTGGTGCCCCAGTTTCGATGACTGCGTCACATAAGGCTCTACTGTTGGAAACCCCAGTCACACATTACTCAGAGATGAGTGTCAAAACTACTTCCCTTTGAGTGAGCGTATAGTTCCACTCACACTCCCCACAAGTCATTCTGGGGAACTACAGAGGTACAACGTGGCTCTGAACGCACGGGAGCTGCAAGGAGCCAGGGAGCCAGGACCAGACACAGCTGAGGGCATCGCTCTTGTTCCCTCCTCTCAAGGGTACAAGGTCTGTTCCTTGACTTCAGTCTACTGTTCCTTTTAATTAGGCAAAATCAAGTTGCGTACTGTACAGTCATTTACACACACCATCATACATCAGGTTTTACCATCCCTTTGCTAGTTCCAATGCCTCTCATCTGGGATGTTAGAAAAGAAAAAAAGTTCTAGCATATGAAGTTCTGTTCCAAAACCCATGAGTGCTGTACACATTTGAAATTCACCCAAGGATAGCTCACCAGGAAAAAATAATTTTTTCTCTAACTTAATTCCTTGATACCTTGAATCTTTACTGAACTGTGGTACCAGGTCTCTTTTACTGGGATGCCTCTATAAAGAATTAACTCAGCTTACTACTGGACTTACTAATAAAAAAAATCAGCGCATGTCTTTAATTCCAGCACTCAGGAGGCAGAGACAGATGGATCTCTGTGAGTTTGAGGCCAGCCTGGTCTCCATGGTGAATCCAGGACAGCTGGGGCTACAGTGAGACCCTGTCTCAAAAAGACAGAAAAAAAAAATAAAAAAATATTTTAACTGGAGCTTGATACTTGCTACATTATCACATCAAACTTTTTTTGTATCAATATACTGTATCATATGAGACTATGTCATAGCGCAGCATTGCTCTGTTATACTGTCCTGCCAGCAGAGCCTGCTTTACGTTACAATGTGTCATCAGCCTGCATTTGTTCCATTCATTCTGCTGGTTGCCCACCGCCTTCAGCATCAGAACACATCCAAAAACCCCTAGAAATCTTAAAAATATTCCCTACAAGCTGGACATGGTGATACACGCCTTTTACTCCCAGGACCCAGGAGGCAGAGTCAGTGGCAGGTAGATCTCTGTGAGATTCAGGCCAGCGGGGGTTATAAGAAGACTCTGTCTCAAAAACAAAACCAACCAACCTAACAAACAAAATCCCAAAACTCTGTATACCCAATTTCCTCCTCTAAAAGTTAACATGTAATAATGAAACATCTTCTGTAGGCTTTCAAATGCATTTTCTTGGGGCTGGAGAGATGGCTCAGAGGTTAAGAGCACCGACTGCTCTTGCAGAGGACCCAGGTTCGATTCCCAGCACCCACATGGTGGCTAGGACCTGTCCTTAACTCCAGTTCCAAGGGAATCTGAAGCCCTCTTCTGACCTCCATGGCATCACACGACACAGGTGCACTCACATACATGCAGGCAATACACTCATACACATAAAATAAAAACAGTAAAATATTTTTAAATGTATTTTCTTTTTAGTTTAGTTTTTTGTTGGTTTGCCTTTTTTCAGTGCTGGGGACTGAACTCAGGGTCCGGCATATGCAGGGCAAGCACTC